AGAAAGAAGCTAAAATGACAGCACGTCCCATGCAATTTAAAAAAAGGTAAACTTGATAGACTAAAACACAAATCATAAATATGATGATCGCAACAATAAAGCAATAACATGCTGTTTTCACAAAATATCACAGCCTGACACTCTTGTCGTTCGAAAGCTTCCATATTGGTTTTGTAGTCAGAGATGTTCACTCCTTGACAGTCAACAGTCAATGAAAGCCACGCGTGGAATTAGGTGCTCAATACCCATGGTGCTTTGCGGCCTGCTGTCCAACCTCCTCTGGTTTGAAAGTTCAGATGACGTGTACTTTCAAATAACATCAACGTAAGTCTGAAGCAAAAACGGAACTTTTCTACATATGGTTTTATGAAGTTCTGGTGTGCTTGAAACTGCTGGGGGATTACCATGGGCTCAGGAGTAGAAAAATACGTGTCTTTGCTGTTCACTGTTGTTTTGATCAAATTTAGGAGAAAAAAAACCAAAAATTAAAATAAAATATAAACACAAGAAAATAAAATGGGTGATTGGGAAGAAGTAAAGCGTTTGGCAGCTGATTTTCAGAGAGCACAGCTTAGTAGCACTTCTCATAAACTATCTGAACGAAATTGTGTGGAACTTGTTCAAAAACTGATCAACCTTGGGCTTATTGATGTGATTTATACTACAGATGGCAGAGAGTATCTCACGCCTTCTGAATTAGAAAAAGAAATACGAGAGGAATTATTCGTTGAAGGAGGTCAGTTGGTTTAATATACATAGGGGGAGCATGTCGAAGGTCATTTAGTTTTTGGTAAAATTACCTGATATCCTTGCATTTATTACTATTATCTTTCAAATGTCTCCCTCTCCCCTATCTTGTACGCTTGTAAAAAACCTGACCTGCAGTACTACAAATAATTCCTCTCGTATTTCTGAATTAGAAAAAGAAATACGAGAGGAATTATTTGTTGAAGGAGGTCAGTTGGTTACTTTAATATACATATACAGATGTACAGTAATTCACCTTATTCATAAACCTCGACAGGGGGGGGGGTTGTCGGGTTTTAGATATATTGGGGTTGATTTATCAAGGGGGAGGGAGCATGTTGAAGGTCATTTAGTTTTTGGTAAAATTACCTGATATCCTTGCATTTATGACTATTATCTTTCAAATTTCTCCCCCCCCCTGCCTTGTACGCTTGTAAAAAACCTGACCTGCAGTACTATAATTATTAAAGTGGAAGTCAAGTCCGTTCTGCATGTCGGTTCTGCTCATAACAATGTAGTAGTAGTAGTAGTAGTAGTAGTAGTAGTAGTAGTAGTAGTAGAACTTTATTTATCCACGCTGACCCCGTCAACCGTAGCTGATTTCCACAGGGGGCGTGTGCCAGAAAATTATTTTACATGCAGAATATGATAACGATAAGCTAAGCTATTACAGTAATATATAAATTTAAAAGATATAACAAATGTTTTGAGCTATTTACAGGTAATTAAGTTATATTTACAAAGGTTACCAAGCACTAATGTGAGCAGCGATTTTATTTCGAAAGGAAGAAAGTGACTTGCTTTCCCTAATTTCTTTTGGTATAGAATTCCAAATGTTTGCTCCGTCGTACATAAAACTATTTTTCATGCTATTTGTACGTGGTTTTGGTAAATAAAGACCACTTGAGACATCCCGAAGGTGGTAATTAGTTTTCTCACTCTTAAACGAAAATAGAGTTGTGAGTGATTTTGGGCCCATTTTGTTTAATAACTTATACATCATTCTTGCTTTAGTTTTCTTCCTTTCAGTTTGGAGTGGCTCCCAGCCCAAAGTACGTAACGCAATCGTATAATCTACGTCATTGCTTATATTCAGAATAATTCTTGCCGCTCTATTTTGCAGTTTTTGCAGTCGTTTTGATTGAGTTTCGCCAAATACATCCCATACTTCACAGCAGTAGTCAAAGTACGGACGAACAATAGTGTTATATATCAAAATAAGTGTATCTTGGTCAACAAATGGTTTGATCCGACGAATAGCAGAGATTCCTGCTGTAACTTTTTTGCAAATATTTTCGGTATTACTTTTCCAAGATAAATGCCGGTCAATTGTTACTCCTAGAGTTTTGCATTCATGAACTTGTTTAATTTGTATATTTTCAATGTAAACATTTGGGCAAGAATCAGAAATATTTTTGATCATAGGTTTAGAGCCAATCAACATAAACTCTGTCTTAGCTACATTGAGGCTAAGTTTATTAGCTATTAACCATTTTCTAAGGTTCTCTAAATCAGAATTTACTGCAGTCTCTAGGTCAGTCATAGAATTTGCTGAAGCAGTCAAATTTGTGTCATTTTGTTTTCCAAGATTGCCGTGTGGGGATCCCATTATAATGTCAAGAATTGATTAATTTCATTTTTGAAATGCCTCAATGATTTGGACGTACGTGCAGTTTGAGGAAGCGCATTCCATAAACTTGCTCCACTGTAGCAGAAACTACGCTTCATAAAGTCCGTACGTGGTTTTGGTAAATTTAGCTTCATTTCTGCATTTCTTAAGTTATAATCTATGCTGCGAAATGTAAACATGTTTTGTAAATACTCTGGCGTTAGCTTATTGATAGTTTTAAACATTAGTATTGACTTGTGCTTTTTCCTACGTAAGGAAAGATTGTCCCAATGCAGTTTCTCTAAGAGAATGCTAGAGCTGACATCGTAGTTGGATTTCGTAATCACTCTAGCAGCTCTATTCTGCAATTTTTGCATTTTTTCACATAATGTTGCGCCAAATTCGTCCCAAATGGGACTACAGTAATCAAAGTGAGGTTGAATTATAGCGTTGTAAATTTGGATTGCTGTTTCAGTTGATATAAATGGTCTTATTCGCTTAAGAGCACCTATAGCGGAAGAAATCTTTTTACACTTCATATCAATGTGTTTAGACCAAGACAGATTTTTATCAATAATTACACCTAGTGATTTTGCCTCATCAACTTGTTTAATCACATGACCATCCAGGTCAATATTGATATTTTCGTTAGTGTGCGCATGCATACGTTGTCGAGATCCTATTATCATAAATTTTGTCTTGGCGATATTAAGGCTTAATTTGTTCGCTTCCAACCAGCTTTTCAATTTTTTTAATTCCGAATTAATAACATTTTCTAGTTCGGCGATAGTGTTGGCCGCATAACTAATGTTTGTATCATCAGCAAACATTCTCGGTACTGCTGCACTGAGACAATTAGGAAGGTCGTTAATATACACAAGGAAGAGTAATGGTCCTAAGTTACTTCCCTGTGGTACACCACGTGTAACTGATGCAGATGATGACAAGCAACCTCTAACATTACATTTCTGAGATCGACCGGTCAAATAAGACTGAAACCATTCGAGACTTAATTGATCCATACCGTAAATTCGAAGCTTCCGCAGCAATATTTGATGATCAATAGTATCGAATGCTTTTTTAAGGTCGATAAATATTACTCCATTGAAGAGGCCATTGTCAATATTAACTGACCAGTTACTAGTGGATTCAAGAAGAGCAGTAAGTGTACTATGTAACGACCTGAAACCGGACTGGCAATGCGTTAACAAGCTGTTAGAACTGAAGTAATTATAAAGTTGCTCAAAGATTAATTTTTCGAAGATTTTGGCTACAGCTGAAATAACTGATATTGGTCGATAGTTATTCGGATCATTCCTTTTTCCTTTCTTAAATATTGGTGTTACTCTAGCCATTTTCCACTCGGATGGAAATATGCCAGTATTAATTGATCTGGCAAATATATCAGTTAATGATGGTGAGATTATTGCAGCTGCTATTTTTAACAGCTTATTAGGAATGTTGTCGAGACCTGGAGCTTTTCGTTCGTTAATTTTACTCAACAGAATATAAACCATATCAACCGTAGGAGGTCTAATGGAAAATCTCTGCTCAGTTGATTCTAAATAGCCTTCAGGGTTGACGTTAGAAATGGGTATCTCTGAGGCTAGATTCTCACCAATATTTGAAAAGTGATTGTTAAAAGCTTCAGCTATATTTGCAGGTGTATTTATTGTTTTTCCGTCTACTTTAATCTCGTTAATGTTACTTGACTTATTACAATTACGCGAGCTTAGTTCGTTAATTAATTTCCATGTTTTTCTTGGATTTGTTTTAGCAGTTTCCAAATGCGTTATAAAATACTCTTGCTTTGCTTTTCTAATTTCGTTATTGGTACGATTTCGAGCAACCCTATATTCTTCCCATAAAATTTGATCATCGGCCAATGTTGCTTTCCGCTTCAGATAATCTCGTTTATGCATATGTCGTAACAATTGGCTTGTTATCCACGGCGATTTTTTTTTGCCTGCTCTTTTGGAGCGAGATGGTGCGTGCTTGTCAATGCACTCCATTAATAAACTTTTATGTTAAATGGGTTTTATAACATAAAAGTTAACAGTATGGGCTGATTCGCTCCGTTGATCGATTGTTGTGTCGGCGATTTGTCCGGGGCAGATCCCCGGTAACCCAGCGTATTAAATAGCTAGTGAACTAGAAGCCAGCCTTTCAGTTGCTTTCAACGTTTTTCCCACCATCCCTTTCCCTCAAAAAATGTCTTCTCGCTTCTGTTGGCGGCACGAGCTTTTTCAGGTGCCCCCCCCCTACACTTGCCACTTTGGTTATAGCGCTCTGGAACTGCTTCCGGGTTGGTAGGGGTTATTCGGTGTATGCGAATTGTGCGGGTCAGGTTTGGGGAGCAACTTGGTTAGTAAGTAGAGAACTCTTCCCTGTGCAGACAGGTTGACTTGTCATCGATTGGGATGGAAGAGGTTCCATTGGTTGAGGAAGTATCCATGATTCCTCGCCTGGTTATGGGGGCTAAGATAATCCAGTCCCACCATAACCTGGAACCGAATCTATCCCCACCGATCAGCAGCGGGCATAATTATATAGTATTGTAATTAGTATAAGGATGAGACACGTTACTAGTTGTTATCAGCGTCAAATGTTAAAGTAAAACACCAGATCGAGGAATTCATGCCAATAGCAGAGCAGAAATTGAAAGGGTATTGATCAATAAATATTTGCAATTTACAATTTATCATTATGCAGCAGAAAAGTATGTTAATTTTTTCATTGTGTAATAGTATTTTATTTCAGGGCTTCCAGAATTATTCTGAGTAGGTGTCTGTTTTGATAAAGTATGCGGTTATTGGGAGGGGGCGGTCTAGGGGGTCTAAAGTCATCCAAATTAACCAGTGTATACTGTATTAGATAGCAAGATAACTGAGCTCTGTAATCAAATTATAATGTATCATTACTCTCATTCTTCAACAAGATAACTTCAAGATTTAAGATGCAAATAACTAAATCGATTTTATGAAATAGTAGTACGACGTTTTCGAAAATAACCAGGCTATAAAGTACAGTATAGACCAAGTTGAGGAAAAATAACTTCGTTCGAAAGCTCAGAGTGGAGGAAGGAGAGCAGAATTGATCATTCAAGTACTAAACAAAGTAACTGGCGGTGAACGACGTAGCACTCGTCGGAGTTCCGGCGGCCGCCGGCTTATTTTGAAAGCCCTGTATTTAGTGGAAAATATATAGCGTTGAGAGATCACAAATGCTAAACTCGCATTCCTAATTCTGAAACGATTCCATATTCTATGTATGTATATATATATATATATATATATATATATATATATATATATATATAATATATATTATAACAAAAAAATTACTATAATACAAGTCATTCGAGTCGTTTACCCGAAATCGAATTATTTACACACAAATAGGCCATGAAGCAATTTTTATGCAATTCGCCTCGTACCCAGGCTTTTCCCTCTACGGAGCGTAGAGGAAAGAGCCTGGGTAGGAGCTTGTGTTACAACTTCCCGTCTAACGTGAAAACAGAGAAAATAAACGACAGGATACACTCTTGCTCCAATGGCTTCCTTTATTTCCTCATGTTTGACTTCGTTTATTTCCATCATGTTTGACGCTCAAGATCAAAGAGAAACATACTCGTGCCCAAAACATGGAGATGTAACTTTCATGTACGCCTGCCATTCTAAAACGGGCAAACAAGAAAACAAGGCCATTGGCCAAAAGTGCGATATCATGACATCGTCTGCATGTACAAGTCGTTAACAAGTTGATCTATGATAACAAATTTGTAGCACCTTACAGCCTGCACTAATCATGTTGGAACAACTTGTTGCAAGTCTGTTACCGTCATCAACCTTGTAACAAGGTGATAGCAACTTTTTCCAGACTTGTTACAACAATTGGGAACAAGCGGTTCGAACATTTCCTGATATCGGCTTGACAACAACCTTGTTACAACTTGTTGCAGGTCTGTAACAATTTGTGTGTTTTATATTTGTGTAACCAAACGCTAGTTATTTCGACCGATTCCAAATTCCATGCTTTTCCAAAGAATCAAGCGAAAAACATGTGGTGAATTTCAAATTCCTCCACGTGTGGCCTTTTTTGTTTATACTGTTTCTTGCTGGTGACAAAATTTTTAGTGGCTCTCAGATTGTAGCTGTTGGACATTTCCAGCACTATCATAATTTTCTCGTGCAAGCCACGCGCCAATTGCGTTGATCTCTCATTTGAAACTTGAATTCTTGATTCCAGTTCACCTCTCACGGACTGATATCCTTGTATCCCACACATTGTGGTATCTGAGAAACATTGCATCCTGGTAAATGGTTCTTCCCTGGGGGTCCAGATAACTCGGGAGTCGGTTGTTCATCAAATAGACTGACTAAAAACATAATAAAAACAATAATTTTCTTCCACTTTTTATTAGACCTCGTTTTAGGATTTGATTTTAGGCCGTCATGTCGGTGGACAAAATTGTCAACCAACATGTCGGCCAAAAATCCAATGCCTAAATAATAATAAAGCCGCGATTTTTGATCAATACGTTCTCACCTAAAGGCTCGTTTACACTTGCAATTTTTGCTGCGATTTGAGGTGCGATTTTCTCCTTCTGATGGATGTGAACGAGTAGATAAGTTATGAATGTTCAGATGAGGGTACATATCCTCCGAACATTCGTAACTCATCTGCTCGTTCACATCCATCAGAAGGAGAAAATCGCACTAGAAATCGCGGTAAAAATTGCAAGTGTAAACGGGCCTTAATGCTGACGGGGGTGGGGAGTAGGACATCTGGGAGGGCAGTTGGTTAGAGCGCTGCACCGGAATCAAAGGAGCACAGGTTCGATTCCTGCCAGAAGGCCTATATAGTTGCATTTTTTGCAACTGTTCCTGGTTAGGTATAATAAATGTACAAAATTCACATTCACAATTTCCATCTACAAAACCTTTTGCATGCTTACGCAATGTCCACGTCTGCCATCTATCTGCGTTTTTAGGAATGTCCTGGGACGGGCCACGAGAAATTTTCCTTGCAAAAACATTTTCTTCAAGTTCACTTTTTACGGTGTAGGAGTAGCCCGGGTGCAGGCCCAAGGGAAGAATAGTGGGCCTGCAAGCGAGGCCCGGTATTTTGTACTTTCCGCGTACGCCCACGAACGCGGCATTCTGATTGGCTGTTTGCTGTTGGATTATATAATTAGATCAGTGATTCATCACAAAGGCTCTCGATAAGCTTAAAATTCGAAAATTGATCACTTTTTTCGATTAAAACAAGAACACACTTTTATTGTTTACTTGAAGGAAGAGATATTTTTGCCGTTATGCCAATGGGGATTGCTTGTCGTGAAGTGTTGGAATAGCAACATTAGTATCATTACGACTGGAGTAAACTATAGTAACCTTTACCCGAGTTTCATTAATTTCAAACCGACTTGATACGTTATATATGTTCCTCAAGAAAATTATCTTTTGGTTGATCTTGCACTGAAGAAAACAGCGCTTTTCGCGTTGAAGATTTAGAGGCAGTTGCATGTAAGCCTATTCGAAACACTTTGCGATTTGCAAGGCTTCGCTGAAAGAGCGAAACAGAATACGATAATTGCCGTTTGAAACGAAACAATCTGGACTCTGAACGCTCTCTTCTTTTGTAGAGTTCTTTACCAAATGAAATAACTGAAATGGAAGTATGTTGATGACAGTACGTTTGCTGAACGAGTTACATCAACTGAGAGTAGTGAACTACAAGATCTAGTGAATGTTATCTATAATTGGTGTGAAGTTAATAATATGAAGCTCAACATCGGCAAATGTAAGGAAATGGTAATTGACTTTGCAAGAGAAAAACATGAGTTCTTACCGTTAACTATAAATAACGTTGGTATTGAGCGGGTAAAGTCTTGGTCTTTCAATTCAAGATGATTTGAAATGAACGAGCATGTGAACCATATTGTTAAAAAAGCGGGAAAACGCCTTTATATGCGAAGGTTGTTAAAACGATCAAATGCCGACAATAGCATTCTAATTTTGGTATACTGCACCATTATCAGACCAGTACTCGAATATGCCTGCCAAGTTTGGCACTTCAATATTACAGAATACCTAAGTGAAGATATCGAAAAACTCCAGAAACGGGCTCTGCGTATTGTCTTGCCATTCGCTACTTAAAGAGAAGCTTGCAGTATTACTGGTATACCCTTACTGAAAGATCGGCGGCGATTATTATGCGAACGTTTTTTTGTTAAAAATGCACATGGAGACAAATTGGGTGACCTCTTACCGCCTAAACTTGATCATAACTATAATACACGTTATGGAAGCGATTATAATAACTATAGTTGTAAAACGGACAGATTTATGAAATCGTTTTTTCCACAGATGGTTTCACATATGAATAGACCATAATTTTAATATTTTTAAATTTGAACTCTATAACTTTTTCAACTGAAGTTATGAATAATTTAATGCATTTAGATATTTATATTGTAGTATAATGAGACTTTTTACTGATGTAATTTAACCTACAGGTTACAAATCGGTATTTTATTAAATTATTATTATTAAATAAATTTCGTACTTTCCGCCGCCAACAAGAATTACATACACGATCTGATGAGACAATTTATTTATAACAATGGCGACAGCGAAGCACACACTAAAGCAAATGTGGTCGCAGGACTTCCCTCACGATTTGAAGTTTGAGACTGGTTTTCTGTTCAAAATTCGTCCTAATTTGCCTGTTCCGATTTTAGTTGAAAATGAGCACTTGCAAATTCGGCAATTTAATACTGACTGCGTTGCTTGCCGTTTTTTTGGAGTTAAAACACAGACATTTTAATATACATTGTTTATATTTTGAATATTAAAGCAGAGAAAACCCCGCAATATTTTAATGCGAGTTTGTTTGTTACTATTTGGGTTGCTGTCATTGGTTCTTTTTTGACAATTGACGCGCGAATGGGGCGTGTTATGAAAAGGGGCGTTTTACAAAATACTGGGCCTTGCTTGCAGGCCCACTATTCTTGGGCCTGCACGCGGGCTAGTGTAGGAGCGATGCAGAATTTTTTAAAATATATTTCTTTCTGTATACTGCATGTGTTGCAGGATTTCTTTCCCTACAATTTGTTTTCAAATTCCGCTCTTGTGGGGGGATCTGCCACCCCACCCCAGAATATCTAATGGTCTACTCCTTATAGTAAAGGGCGCAGAACAAAGACTATATGGTAAAGGCCTAAAGGGTGCGCGCAAATGAAGAGTGAGAGCAAGTCTAAAATCTGCACGCCTCTTGAGGAATATGGGAACGAGAAGTTCGGCTATTCCGAATATAAGCCCCTCCATGTATAAGCCATGGGCTACTTCTTTTTGTATATAATTTTACAGGTACAATAAATATTATTACCAATATCAAATGTCACCTGCATGTAAGCCTCCCCCCTGTATATAATCCCCTCCATGTATAAGCCCATCAAAAAATGCTTACGAACGAATAGCTTGCTTGGAAGGCCCAATCACGTATCATATAGGCTGCTCAGAAGCCAGGTGAATTTTCAGCATAACGAAATAGCCTGAATCTGTCCTCCTTCGTACGAAATTCCGGGGCCCCTTAGTAATTCCAGAGTCCCAAAGTTCTCCAGCCCTAGGTCTGACAGCTCTGTCCGCCCTGACAGAAAACATACTCCAGGGTCCGGTTTTTCGAAAGCCGGTTAGCTTAATCCCGGGTTAAGAAAATTCGTCAAAGCAATCTTCCAAACAGCCACTTATAAACATGGAGATATTTCTTCAGAAATCTTGTCTAGATCAACAGAAGTTTGGTTTGCGCAAATCTAGCTTTGAACAACCGGCGCCATTAAAGAAAAAAAGAAAGATTATAGCAGATTTATAGTTCTTATATATGCATAAATCTGAACCTTGTCCTTTATTAGGCAAAACTGGTTGCACTTTTGAAGAGTTATAATTATAATTATGTGAACACGAACAATTATACGCAAAGCAATCTTCCCAACAACACGAAGATAGTTTTCCACATTCATGTCTGAATCAATAGAAGTTTTCTTTTTCAAACTTTTGAAATAAACAGAAGTGCAATTGTATCCAAACCAAAACAGCGGGTTAAACTTTAGCCGAGGATTAGTGTTAATCCAGCTTTGAACAACAGGCCCCTGCAGAGGTTTTGAAAGGACATACAGAAATACAAAACAAAACCCAGCGGGCTAAATTTTTGAACCTAAAGTTAGCGCTAATCCAGCCTTAGTAAATAGCTACTTAGGCATACTTACCGTCGGAGTAATCTTTGCCAGGTTGCCAGGCCAGTAATATCCATCCTAATATAGCTCCAATAACACGCATTAAGTTCACTATCTTCCAGTCATCTACTAAATCTTCCTTATCTTTTTCATTCTCCCTAAAATAAAGATATTAAGAGGTACTTTCAAGATTCATAAACCGATCATTTGTCCTACACCCTTTTAATTGCAGTCAAGGATGAATTTACTGGGGGGAGAAGGAGGGGGGTGCACCCCTTCTAGCTTTGGTAGGGGATGACAATAGGATTAGGATAAGGGATGTTATTGGAACCAAGATCAAATCGTGTGTGAAACATGAAGATTTTGCCTCAATTTCTCTATCATATCCATTTTTGATTTTGAAAGGCAATATCCCACCACCCTTACAACAACAGCTAGGTCCCCTCGAAACTATTTGAGGGGAGAACCCCCCCCCCCCCCCCCCCCCCCGCCC